ATGATTTAGTCCAAATAGAAAAGAATTGAAATTGCTACATGATTTGATTGGAATAAACTAACGCCGAAATAAAAAAATGTTATCTCGACAAAATTTTTTAAACACGAAAATAATAAAAACTCCCTCATTAGGAAAACAAAATAGCGGCAAAAATTATTTGATCATATTATAGTAACTTTTTTTTTGAAAAAAAAAATTTTACGGCGGCAAAGTCCAGGACATTTTTTTTTGTTTGCTTTACGTAAAATCGAATTTCTTGATTGGGGTTACTCATTCTTTTTCTAGAGGATCAAAGTTTACAAAATGATTCACGCAACAATGATTCATAGATGCGATACATCTAAACTTTCTTTATTTCGTCATAGACGTACCTGTATATAAATAAGTTTATCTATTTGTTCGATTTCACGTCTTTCTTTTGATCAAATATAAATAATCACATTGACGGACGAAATTCATATATGTTAGGGCTCATATTTATTATTATTTTTAATTTTTTTTTATTACAAACTACAAATAGCGTTGAATAATGTGAATGCAAAATTTACATCTTTGCAGTCTCATTAATTACATAGATTTCAATACTATTTGTACTAAACTCTTCTCAATAACTCAAACTCCTTTTTTTAAAAAAAAAATTTCTAGTGGTTGAATTTAAAAATTAACCGATTACAACCTTCAAAACATTTCTACGCAAGGAGGCCGTCGGCACAACAATTCAATAACTAAACAATTTAAGGACGGAGGCGACTCTTGATATTCTGAAGTTGAAAACGAAAATTAAAATATTTTTCAAAGATCACCAACGAAATCTACATGTGTATTAGGTTTTAATTATTATTTTTATTTTTATATTATCGGTTTATTTGTTATTTTCGCAAAATTCATTATCTTATGATTTTAAATGATAAAGCTAAAAAATTAAGTGCTTTTTGTATAAAAACCTCAAAAGTCCGACTTGATTGACTTCCGAAATCTAATATTGATTAAAAATTCTTTCCTTGACCATTTCAAACCTATCAACTATACAAAAGAATCATGTTAATTGATTGTTGAATAAATCTTATTTAGGATGGGCCTTAGATTTAAATCCTTGGTTAATTTGGTTTCGGTTATAAAGTATTATTAGGATTAAGGTAAGATTAAGATTAGTCAAAGAAGTTAGAACATTTGTAGTGTGTCACATACCGGCCATTCTTCATTTTACCAAGTATTCTGGGACATATTTTTCCATTTATATGTTTCTTCTTATAAGTATGCGACCCCGGCAATTAAATTCAGCTCATTAGTGTCGTAAATTGGAATGACTAAAAAGATCGACAAAATAAGAAACGATAAAAGATATCAAAAACAAAAAATAAGAATTTGTTCCAGATATCAGATTAAGTCCCTTTACTAACTGTTATATAAAATAGGAGTCTGAAATTTACTGTTAATTCAAATGCTCTTATATATTTAAATAAACTTTTTTTAAAAATTAAATCTTTTAAAGAAACACAATTAAAAAGCTCATATATAAACTTTATTTATTTTGAAGTTTGTGAACTGGAAAGATTTTGTATTAAGATTCAAAATTACATTGTCATATGATGTTTAAAAAAATATTTATTATTAAGCTACAAAATTTTCTTTGAGAAGTTATGAAATTTTCTGAAAATTTTGCAGTAAATACATGGCATCATTTCTTTCCGTTAATGGTTTTTTCAATATTACTCTTATGATGCTATATTAGATATTGTCTGTCGTTTAAACAAAGTGACGCTTGAACAGGCTATTCTTGGTCTTGAACCTTGGAAGAAATAACGTTTTGGAACTGAAGTCGATCACTTTGCAAGAGGTATTATCCTTAGATGAAATTCGATCACATTGCAAGTGTTCGTGTCTTGGTTGAAGTTTAATTCCGTCAAAGGTTGTGATCATTGCTTTCCATTAAAGATGTAGTGGTTTTTGGAAGAAATCATCGATATTATTAAATGGTCATTATCTTTGGTTCGATCCCGTCAAGAGATCGTGGCCCTTGAAATAAATCTAACTATTCGATGTTGAAGTCAAGGAATTATTGTTTAAATGTTATAGACTTCCTTTCGAATATTCTGCTCACAATGTCTGTGTTGAAATGAATTTCCGTTTGATCAAATCCTTTTGGTATTATTAATTCTTTCTAAACACTTTTTATTATAGAATAATTTTATTCATATTATCCTTAACTCAAAACTTTTACAAATTATTCTTTTATCCTTAATTAATTAGATAGATTCTTTAATTTGAAAGCGAACTGATTGAATAAATTTTGACGATAGGTAAAAATGTTGAAAATTATTCTTTAATCTCTTTCCAGTTTTGAGATAAATCTTTGAGTTACTGGAAATTGATTTAAATTTTGGGTAAAATTGATATTTACTTCCTCACCTGTTATTGGTATTATACTCATTATACTAATAGCGAACAAAAACAAAATCTCTTATGGCATTAGGTAGATTTGCATAATTTGATGCTACAGAACTCACAAAAATCAGTTATTTTTTTTTTAAGAAAAAATAAAGGAATTTCAGATTCTTATAAATGCCATGGAGTAATACGAATATGACGATAGATACAGTGGCGGTCAAAAGTATTGCACCACCTGAATGCAAATCTTAAAATTTCAATTTCTTGAGATTAAGAAGTCGCAGTGTTACAAAACTTATTTAAGGGGTTCGTCATACCCTATTTTATCAATCTATATAATTTTTTTTTTTAAGAAAACAAAATTTTTTTTCGCGAAATGTAAAAACATTCAAATTGGGTGATGCATTCATTATGACCGATTTTATGAAAATAAATTCCTTCATATCATATGCGATTATTTTTATTCAAAACAATCATGCAGCACATATAAAAGGATGCCTTAGACATCCTTATTTTTTTTCTTTAAAAAAATATTGATGGGTTATTTATCTGTTGAAAAAAGTTTAAGGATTTGTATTCTATTTGAAGAGGGGATATCCCTCTCGTTATATTGCATCCAAAGAAAATATTTCTCAATCAACTGTTATAAGAATTAAGCAAAGAAAAGATACAAATGGTAACTTAAAAATTAACCAAAGCCTGGACGTCTGCGATACCTAGCCGGTCGAAATGACGAAATATTTTGCAACTTATTTCATCAGGAAAATGTACAAATCTATTTTTTTTTAAAGTAGCAATATAATCTGCTACTTGATTTTCTAATATAGATATATTTGAAATAAGTTATAGCTGACTTTATATTGCTCTTCTTGTAAATAAGAATTAATTATATCTTTAAAATTTTTTAAAGTATTCAAACCAATTTTTTGCTACTTTTTTTATTTTTTGAATAAGTGATTTTTTTGATAATATAAAATTGCTTTCTCAATTTTTAAGATTTTAGATATTTAAGGCTGTAAGTATGAATTATATAGGTAGTGTTGAATTGTATGTTTTTATTGATTTATTTTGAATTTTTAGAGAAAAAGAGAAAATTTGTAAAAGAAAATTGATTATGAACAAAAATTTAATTTATTGTTAGTCACATGATCAATTATTATATAAAATATATTAGTTATTACCACTCAATTGATTTCGCAGTATAATCACAATGTTTTAGGAATTCTCTGTTTTTTATTTAATTATCCAAGTTAAAATTTTTAAATTTTTTTAAAAGTTTACGATAATGCTACGCTATTTAAATATGTAAATCTAAAAAAATTAATCAAATAAAGTATAAATGTGAATATAAATATAAATGAATAAATAAAAGCCTAGGAAGTTAATTTGAAGAGAATTTGGCTTTTTTGTAAGATTATTTAAACTAATTTAATATATTTCATGCTTTGTTATGCACTTAAATTTAGATTTACTTGAACACACGCTTGATTATATAATGATTTACTTCTTTTTATATTTTTTTTCTTCTCTTTCTCTCTCTCCCTCTCTATCTCTTTCCTTTTCTCTTTTCTTAAATATTTCGCTTCTGAAAGTGAAGTTAGTATGTCTTTTCTTACATGAAGGAATGAAAAAATCAACAAAAAAAAAATACAGTTATGTAACAATGTAGGACACAATCGCACAACTTATCCTTCAAATCCAATAGCATAAAGAAACAGAATCATAATTTAATGGCTCCGTTCTTTCGCCCGCTTGTATTTTTTAGCATGAGCTTTTAGTACATTTTTAATATTTTGTCAGCATGATTTTTTATTATCAAAATTTTCATGTTATTTTTATGTAATAGAAGGATGCGCACAAAAAGATTTACGCATAGTTTTATTATTTAGCAAAGTTTATTTAAATTTTTTGCCAATGCGTGGAATATTCTAAATTTGAAAAATTTTATATAAATTTAGTCATAAAATTCTCTGAGCATGAATTTCCTTGCACCCTACTATTTGCGCAGGTGCGTAGAAAGTAAAACCCTTGTAAATAATAATCAATAAATAATTACTATTGGAAGATTGATATTATCGTATGAAATAAAAATTTACCTAATTCTAACGTAATTGATTGACTCAAATTAACATTCCGGAATTTATCATATTACTTAAAGACCTATTGCCCCTGGATTAACTAATGATTTTATGATCAGATGATTCCGTTCAACTATATAAATATCAAGCGAATCGGTTTTGTATAAAATTAGCATTAGTCTTTATTTGAATAAGGGTCCCAACATTCTTGGCATTTAATATATAATTTAATATGACCTTCAGGTGCGTTAAGCTCTGTATCATGAGTATTCATCCTAAAAGGGCCTTTTACATGCCATAATTAACCTAAACTATATTATGGCTGCGTCGTGATGAGCAATGAGATTCATAATTTTTTCTTTCACAATTTTGCGAATCCAAAGTGGCACGATTCCGAAAAAGTAAATTCATAAAGTATACCCTTGATCGACAAGGAAATTTGTCATTTTCAGAAATTTGTATGGTTACGACGACGATTTTTATTTCTGTATAATAATGGACATTAACACCATCTCCTTGATTTTTAATTTAAACATGGATAATTATGAACTGGTAGCTGCAGCCTTATCTAAAATTACAAACACGCAAGTGATTACATATAATGAATATTTGACACAAAAAGATAGAAATCCTGACCAAACTTTTCAATATTTTGATAGTAATTTACTTCATGATATATATTTAGTCAAAGGTGTTGTCTCTTCCGACGTTATTGATGTTGAAGAAGAAGTGGAAAATTCTACTCGCAATTTAGAAAACGTTTTCATATCATTTTCCGGAGAAACTTTGGAAATTAAAAATCTTAATGCGAATACCACAATTAGTCAATTGAAAAATAAGATATTTGAATCTAAAGGAATTGTACCAAATGATCAATGGTTAACGATCCAAAATGTTCTCATAAAGAACCTTTCAGGAAAAACTTTGACGGTTAAAAATCTAAATGCGAAAACTTCCATAAATCAATTGAAGAATAAAATTTATGAAACGGAAGGAATTCCACCGGATGAACAATACTTAAATTATGGTCTTAAATCACTTCAAGACCATCAAACGTTAAGTTATTATGAAATTACAAATGATACAACAATTAATTTATCCACACGATTACGTGGTGGATCTAATACGATTCAAGTTCTTGACCGTGATTTCTTGGATCCACGTTACGACTACGATTTTACAAACATCAAACCTTCTGGAACTTATACGCGTGGCAATTATAAATATGTGCGACCGTATGGATGGAATCGTATGGCGATGAGAGTTCTTAATAAGTATTCTGATAATAGTTGGCTTGGGGTAAATAATAGGACAAACATTTCCGAATCTGTGGAAGGTGAATGGATAGTTAGTTTTCATGGTACTGGAAAGAATAATGTGAATTCCATTGCGAAAGATGGATACCTTCTAAGCAAAGGGCTAAGGTTCAAATATGGCCGTGGAGTTTATTCTACTCCGGATATAGATTGGGCTGCTAAATATGCTGATATATTTGTGTATAAAGGGGAGAATTATCAAGTTGTATTTCAAAATCGTGTGAAACCAGATACTTTTGACGTTGTATCATTTGATTCCGGGTTAAAATTTTTTATTTCTCCTAACGATAAAGAAATTAGACCTTATGGTCTTTGCTTTAGAAAAATTTAAAAATATTTATAATCCATTGTTTTTTGTCCACGCCTTTAGTAATAAATATATTTTCTTATTAACGTAAGTTTCGTAACAACTTGACTACTGTCCTAATTGATAATAAAATAGTTTTTTTATTTTATTACCGTTATACGTTCGAATTCGATTCCATTATCCATTAGTACATCATCCTTTCCTTTTCACATTCGTGCTTGAAGTTTCTTTTGTTGTCTCCTAATTTCGAGTTAAAGCTTGATATTTTTATATCGAAGGCGAATGGCGATCAATTATCAAAAGAAAAACTAACTATTACTGCCTCTCACTCGGCGCTCTGTAATTAGGCTTTAAGATAAGATATTCAAATTTCTCTATCTAAACAAAAATTAAGTCTATATTAAATTTTATATAGATTATAATATAATAATTCTTTCATAAAAGATAAATTGATAATTAAAGATCATAATTAGGTCTACCTACATAGTTCTTTTTGGAAAAAAAAAGAAATGAAAAAAATAATTTTCTTTTAATACTTCTATGAATTTCGATCAAATCACATCATTATTGTTTATGAAAAAATTCTTTAATAAATCATTCCATATGCCCGATCCACAAATTGGTGAAAATCTATCTATTGCGTAAGAATTTAATAAAATTATAAGTTACATCATGTGAAAGTTATCTTTGAAAAATGTTTCTTTTGATTTTATTAATAAAATAATTTAAGAAATTTGGAAAGTTCAATTATAGCGCAAATAATCAGATATTGCGCAGGAAAAAATAAATGCAAAAAAATTTTCATTTTGTTGTGTTGAAACTAATCGTTTTTTCATGAAATATCAATGTAATGATAATATCAAAAGTGCCAAATTTTGGACAAAATTTTTATAATCAAAATTGCGTGCCGCTTGTTGCTTTATCACTCAAAGTTTGGTGTCATTATGAGAAATATAAATGCGGAATTTAAAGTAGCAAACATACCATATTCCTCCGAAAATAAGCAACTTCCGAATTAATTTGTATAAACAATTAATAAATATTTTAATTAGCAAAATAAATGTATTTATTAAAATTCAAATTATTATTATAATATTTATTAGAATAATGACAATGTCTCCCGAAACTATGAAAATTGTACTACTAAAATATTTCGAATATCATATTATACTCCGTGATAAATTTAGACTCTACATAGTAATTAACGCATCGCCATTAATATCATTGCCACTATCGTCATACTCACTATCATACCCACTACCGATATCATTGCTATTATCAATGTCACTAATTTCCAAATCGGAATCGGATTCATTTAGATCAGTTGAAATTTTACAAGTCTTAAAAGACTCGATGATAATTTCATCTGAAATTGCATCCCACGAACGCCTTAACCCATAAACAAACATCGCCAATTTTTGCACAACGAAGATTACCTACAGAAGTTTCTCTAGCACCACCACTAGCCATCCAGATGTGCCATTCCTTTGAAGATGATCTTTAAATGGTTTTCTAATGGAAACATCCAATGGCTGGCAAATACTGGAATCACTGCCAAATCAAACCCACTCTCATGAAGTTTCCTTTTACTGATTCTTTCAGTCGAGTTTTTGAAGTTTATTTGGAGTGAAAATATTATGGAGAATAATGTATCATTTAGTAGTAATATGTTAGTAATTTTCATTTTTCATTTGACAAATTTTTATTAATTTATTTCCATAAATTTTAAAAATGTTGCTCGATAATTTTTTTAAAATTTATTTTGTAGGATACATCATTTTATCCGTTTCGAGTTATTGCGGATGCATAAGATGATTCGAGTAGCAGTATAAAAAACAAGAAAATGTTAGTAATAATGAATAAATTAACAAAAGGACCTGTTAATGGAATAGCCAAAGAAATTGTCGGGTGATGTCGGATCTGTTATTGAAAGACTAATTATGTTATTTGGGGCGTTCTTGTTGAATTAATTTAAACTTATATTCAATTTAAGGAAGCAAATAGAAATATTGAGCATTTATTATTGTTAATATATATTTCAACGAATATTGATTAACTCATAATTCAAAGTTCATTGATAGGGAAGAAAATATCGGTGGTTCTTACGGAAATGATTTTCGCGCAAATAAATAATGTTTAAAATTTTCAAATAAGAATTCATTGTTGTGTCGAGATATGATGAAAAAATAATTGTTTAAGTAAACAGATGTAAATGCAAAGGGCGGACGATTTATGTTAAAAATTGGTATTAGTATTCTGCATATGGTATTCGTTACCAAGCAATCTATCCAAATATTAATCAAATGGTATTAAAATCATAATGTATTTGATTTGTTGGATTGTATACGTTAATCCTGAGACTTACAATTTGCAAGCGCTGGCGTCAGCAAGGAATTATTGGTTTTTATTAGTCAATTAAAAAATATCATTGCATTTGATTTATATCACAATTTCGTAAATCAATAAAAAGAAGTTGGTGCCCAACGTTTTTAAATATTTGACGATAGATATGTTGGCAAATAAATCATAGTATAACGTACATTGAATGAATTTACAATCATTATATTATCGATTTAAAAATGATTTTTTGATGAACTACCACAATCTAGATTAGAAGTTTTGTCTCAAAACATAATCACGCATTTATGTAATCATTTTAATAACTTAAACAGGCAGAAAATAGGTTTTGATAGCTAAAATCTAAATTTATATAAACGCCTCATTTTATTTAATGGTACCATACGCTGTCATACCTTCAATAGTTCTGACAGAGTTTGCAATAACAAGCCTTGGATAAGGCTTAGAAACTCTATTATATATTATTCAGATCAGATTGATTGTTTATTGGAACTATAGTTATGAAATGTATCAAATCTTTGAACCTGAGTAAATTTTTTGTTTGATTCGTTGTCAGTGTCGATTAAATTCCAAGTTAACATCGGCAACCAGACAACCCTACAACCTAACAATTCTCGTAATTATATATGAAATTTGCTGTAAGTATTTTAGTAGTTGAATTATTCTGTAAGACTAGACCTTTTTTCCCTATTATTCAAATATTTATTATGATTTATATAAATTGTTTTATGATAATTAAGTTATTTCCTTATCTAATGCACATATACGTATTACGTTTATTTAGGATATCATGTTCTTTTTTAGTAATTTAAAGTCTTTTTATTAAACTCATAGATAGGTCCAAAAACTTGCTATTACTAAGTCTTTTTTGTACTAAAAAGGTCGAAGGTGGATTCTGTATACACAATTGGATATTGTGTGTTTGTAAGAAATCTTACTTAAGAAGTTATATAGGAATATTTTTTTAAACAATTTGAATTTTATTTCGAATTTTTATAAACACGATGAAAATATCAAATTATATGAAATAAATGTATAATATTTATTGTTGTTGGCTTGGTATCTGTAAACTTAAACGATAAACTTTTAATTCAATCCGTTGAATTAAATACAAGACAATATC